AATTTAAAAAGACCAAAACTATTAAGAAAAAAAACAAAAAAAACTGTGAGTGGGGTTAAATAAAAAGTGTACATTTATTGGGAGGGGGACCTAAGTGTAAGTAGAAGTAGCAAAATGCCTGTAATCTGCAATTTTTGAGACGACAAAAGCATCAGCAATCCTCCATCATGTAAAACAATCAAGGGTTCGTTTTACACTCACTTGGCAGGGCGGAGTACCTCCCTGGGTGGGTTTCTTTTTACCAACCCACTACCTAAATAAAATATATAAATATATATATATATATATTTAAAAATTTATTATAATATTTATAAATATATATATATATTTTTATTAATATAATATATATTTATATATAAATATATAAATTTTTTATATATATATATATATTTATATATATATATAAATATATATTTTTATAAAATATATTTTATTTTATATATATATAATAAAAATTATATATATATATAATATATATATATTTTTAAAAATTTTTAAAAATTATTTTATTTTTATAATATATATATATATATTTTATATAATATATATTTTTATATTATATAAAAATTTTTATATATATATATAATAATATATATTATAAATAATATATATAAATATATATAAATATATAAAAATTTTATATAATATTAAAATTAGGGAATACGGCCCCATTCGCCTGTTTTTGTGCTCGCTATTGGGGGTTTAGGAAGGGATACAAAATGTTTTCTGGGTGTGTATAAGTGTTATGTTGAATAAATAGATATATTTTCCTAACTAGGATTTTTGCCTAACCCTCTATTAACCAACCCATTGAAGTAACAAATGCTGGTTTAGCGCTTTCTGTTTTGACTGGGATAGCCCTGGGTGGCCTGTTTATGCTTGAGATGTGTGTAACTTTTACCTTTGCCCTTAGACAAGGCTCTAGCCCCAGCTATCCCACTTTTCTGCATAACATAAGGCTCTTGACTCATATAATGACTCCAACAACATGCTCATTGGAGAAGCCAGGTATAGATACTCAAAAATTAGCGACAATTGCTATAGCGCACAAAATACGTGCTAAAGGAATAACTGGGAAATCGAACACAAAGAGTAGTGGTCAACAGATTTAAATCGGAGGCTGCCATAGTGAAGAGCTCTGTTCCACAAGGCACAGTACTCGCCCCATCTTATTCCTCATCCTCATATCAGACATAGACAGAGATATACACCACAGCACCGTATCATCCTTTGCGGATGATACTAGGATCTGCACGAAGCTGTCATCTACTGAGGACGCGGTTAACCTCCAAGAAGATATAAACAAAGTTTTCCAGTGGGCAACGGAAAACAATATGATGTTCAATGAGGACAAATTCCAACTACTCCGTTATGGAAAACTGGAGGAGATAATAACTAGAACAGAGTATACTACAAACTCTGGCCATACAATAGAGCAGAAAAATAATGCAAGGGACCTGGGAGTAATAATGTCTGAGGATCTCACTTTCAAGGATCACAACAGTGCCACGATCACAAGTGCAAAGAAAATGATAGGATGGATAATGAGAACGTTCAAAACGAGTGATGTCAAACCAATGATGATCCTTTTCAAATCACTTGTTCTCTCTAGGCTAGAATATTGCTGTACATTAACATCTCCATTCAAAGCAGGTGAAATTGTAGATCTAGAGAGTGTACAGAGAGCCTTTACTGCATGTATAAGTTCTGTCAAGCACCTTAACTACTGGGAACGCTTGGAAGCACTTGGCTTGTACTCGTTGGAACGCAGGAGAGAGAGCTATATCATAATCTACACTTGGAAAATCCTGGAAGGAATGGTCCGAAATCTGCACACACAAATCACTCCCTACGAAAGTAAAAGACTGGGCAGGAGATGCAAAATACCCCCAATTAAAAGTAGGGGCACCATTGGTACACTAAGAGAAAACGCCATAAGTGTCCGGGGTCCAAGACTGTTCAACAGCCTCCCATCAAGCATTAGAGAAGAATTACCAATAAACCCCTGGCTGCCTTCAAGAGAGAGCTGGACAGATACCTAAAGTCAGTGCCGGATCAGCCGTACTGTGGCTCGTACGTTGGACTGCGTGCGGCCAGCAGTAACAGCCTGGTTGATCAGGCACTGATCCACCGGGAGGCCTGGTCATGGACCGGGCCGCGGGGGCGTTGATCCCCGGAATAACCTCCAGGTAAACTCCAGGTTGCGTTTGACAAGGGAGCCTAATACCCCGTCTGTTTACAGTCTGTTTTATTGTCCAACGAATCCGTTTGAAACCGGTCAAGGGTTCGGAACCAGTCGGATCTGATCAGTGGATCACTTATTTAAAACATATCTGGTCGGTGATTTGGGCTAACACATGAAGGAACTACTGGAAATTATTTAACCGAGTAATATGTGATTAGATTGATGCAAAAGTATAACTTGCGTGTTGGAGAACTGGTGATTGCTGGCATCTCCTACAATGACGAACGGTCGAGGCCTCAACCCTTATTTACAGCCTGAAGTTTTATAGATCACTGTATCTAGCTTTTCTAGGTTTTTCCGTGTCCACCACAACAAATGCTATATATATGTATATATATATATATATATATATATATATATATATATATATATATATATATATATATATATATATATATATATATATATCGTGCCGAATAGGCAGAACTTGCGATCTTGGCTTAAATAGCAACGCTCATCTTGCCATATAGGGCAAGTGAAAATTTGTGTATGCAATAATTTCGCCAAAATCATTCTGAACCTAACGAAAAAAATATATTTCACTGGGTTTGTTTAGTATTAAATTATTGTAAACAAATCTAAAATATATTTAGTTGGGTTAGGCTAAAATAAATTGCGCTTGTTATAATAAGGTTAGGTAAGTTTTCTAAGGTTCTTTTGGTGCAAAATTTTAATTTTTTACAATAACATTAATGAAAAAAATATAGCTTTAAACGTATAAGATAAAATTTCAGAAAGGACTTAATTTTAAATGAGTTCTTGTTAATTGATCAGTTTTACATATTTGGCACGACATATATATATTATATATATATATATATATATATATATATATATATATATATATATATATATATATATATATATATATATATATATATATATATATAATATTGAACTCCAGTATAAGCCCTCCTCTCAAACTTCTCCTTGATAGCTACAACAAAAACATAGGCACAACACAAAGTACGAAGCACTTTTCGACATCCCCCGTGTCCGCCACTCCTTATGCAAAAATGCAATGCACATAAAGGGCCACAAGATCTGGAATTCATTGCCCGAATTAGCAAAAGGCCCCTTGTCTGCTAATTAGTTTAGAACTATAATTTAAAATCACCTCATCTCCCAAACGTAACTACACCAACACTTTCCTATACCAAACATAACCAACTTATCCAACTACTTCCTGTTTCATTTCTTATAATTTTCCCATAACCTGAAATCTTAGAGCCAGTTTGAAATCAATTAATAAATCCTAATTAACTTAAGATCTAAATCATTTTAAAATATTAATACCCGCTTAAAACTGTACTATTGTAAATTGTGCTACCTGTAATATTGTACTACCTCTTTACTGTTTACTGTACTAACCGAAATATTTTTTGCTACCTCTTTTTATGGTAATGCATAGTTAAAATTTACCACTCAGTAACCTATGTTTAGTCATAAGTAGTCTGTAATCATTGTAAATCGTACTAATTGTAATATTTTTGCTACCTCTCTTTCTGTAATAACACATAATTTGAATTCACCACTCAGTAACATATATCCAACATTATGTAATGTGTAAGCATTAAGGTTAGTCTGGCCGAAATGCACATGCATGCTAGTAGCTTTCTTTGTGTTTAACAATATTTTATTACATGTAAACTACACTTTGTATACTACACAAAGCAATAAAGTTGTTTGTTTATACACTGTAAAGGTGAGGCGCAGAAAATCTTGACAGAAAAGGCATGGCTGACTAGTAGAAGTAAGAATATAATCACTGAAAGGCAGTGTAGCACACCTACTGGGTAGGTCCCTCTCAAATCCAATCTTTCTCACTCGTAATTAGAGGTCAGGCATTGAAGTTATCGAAGATTTCCTCTGTCCCAAGATACCGTTTTGTTGCAGTGTCTAACACTGAATATGATAATGCTATACAATACCAACAAGTTGATAAGGCACATGTGCAGCAGTTATGTATATTTATCCTAAAACTTTTCGCCTACACAGGCGAAAAAAATCTCGACAGTGGAGGCAGCTTGTCCTGCCTCCACTGTCGAGATTATTTGTGCCTCACCTTGACAGTATTCAAGTCTCCATTCTGTTGCTTCAGTTTCACATTGTTCCAGGCTATGGAGCAGATCTCTTCTCCAGACTGAAGGACTGACCACCTCAAACCTACGTTTTCGAGGGTGATGGGCTGATTACATCATATTTACGTATGTTTTGCTTCTTCTGCCCGATCTGTATTCGACGGAATGCTTCGAAATAAATATACCTGTGTCTTACTTATCAACTTTTCGGTACTGTATAGCTTTATCATATTCACACTGTCAGACACTGCAACACAACAGTATCTTGGGACAGAGGACATCTTCAACAACTTGAATGCCTGACCACTAATTACAAGTGAGAAAGGTTGGATTTCAGAGGGACCTACCCAGTAGGTGTGCTACACTGCCTCTCAATGATTTCATTCTTACTTCTACTAGTCGCCCCAGCCTCTTCTGTCGTCAAGATTTTCTGCACCTCATCTTGACAGTATACAAATATTTAAGCTCTTTCCTCAAAGCACCCTTTGAGGTTGGGGAAGAGAAGGGAGTTGTCTTGATACCATTGAGGGGCTCTTGATCCACGGAAAATTTGAATTTCCCTTCCCTTCCTTGGTTCAAGCTTAATAACCTCCCATTACCCAGGTGTTGTTTGATCTCTTGTGGATTGAGCACTTTCCCAAAAAAATAATTTTGTGTATGTTCTGCGTTATTACCTGAGGATGGCAAGCAGTGGCACCTAGGATGTGCTGCTGGGGGCACTGCTGCAGGCCCACTACACTCACGTTGATCTTGTCACTTTGTCTTGTCACTAAGATCCACTGACGGTTAGCAGAGGCAGGACAAGAAGTCGAGAACGGCCTCTCAGTAGACACTGTTGGCATGGGATCACGTTATATATATATATATATATATATATATATATATATATATATATATATATATATATATATATATATATATATATATATATATATATATATATATATATATATATATTATTGTAATCACGAACAAGTGGTATTGAAATTGAATCAATAACAACATTGCGACTAGTAGAGGATTCGAACCCATGTCGTTTTGGCCCACCTCATGGTGAGCGAAAATCACATGACGCTCTCTAACCCATAGGACCACGCAATCCTACAAGAATCAAGTACCCAGCAGAGCTAGGTGTTTTACCTTGATCCGAGGACATACGGTGGTGTGGGTGCCTCTTAGCGAATTTCAACTCAGAGGCACCATGCTTCAGGGTAAGAGAAACTGGTAATTAATAAATAACCTTCATTATCGATAGGAAAAATCTAAGCAATGTTGCGAGGGTGGACCGTTAGTAGGCCCACAAACATCAGTATTATCATTAAGGACCAGTATCAATGGTACAGGACCGACCGATACGTGCATTTGTGAATTTTTCCAGCCACGGCATTGAGACACTTATTCTAAGCGGAACTTTCACTCTGGTATGAGGTTGTGAGAGGTGGCGAAGGACCAGGGTTGTTGTGTACGAGGTGGGGAATGAGGCTCGAGAGGTTGTGAAAGGTGGGAGGAGTAAGGGGTCACTTTTGTGAGTATGAGATAAGGTTAGAGGGGTTGTGAAGAGCCGGGAGGGGGCAGAGGTGCCTGCGTGACTGTCCAGTAATGAAACATCAACATAGAAACCTGTTGTGATGACGGTGGGATCAATACTGCAATGTGTCATCACTGAGACGCGGCACTTACACCCATTTATGGCACTCAGCTGTGCCACTATCACCCACTGACACTCTCAGCTGTGTCACCACCACCCACTGACACTACCAGCTGTGTCACCACCACCCACTGACATTCCCAGCTGTGTCACCATTACACATTGACACTACCAGATGTGTCTCCACTACACACTGACACCCTCAACTGCCACCGCCACTCACTGACACTCTTAACTGTCAGTACCACACACTGATACTCCCAGCTGTGTCATCACCACACACTGATACTCCCAGCTGTGTCAGGTCAGCATTTTTCAGCGCTGCTTCATACCCTTCCTCCTGGAGGCTTCGCTTAACACTCAATGAGCCCACTTAAAAATGTCTTGAGTAGAATTTTTATGTAGATAATCTTCAAGGGACCGTAGCCACTGAAAAAGTTTTAAAGGTCCTTTACAATGAATCAAACAGTGAAATGATTAGAGCTAACATATCACTCAGAGGATGGAATACAAATTCAGCCACGCTGAACGAAGTCATAAAGTCAGACTTTCCTGAATCTGAAGTCCCGAGTAGTTGTAACTTGCTTGGGCTGGTATGGCATACCACCTCAAGGTGGTGAACCTCAAGCCTAGTAATAACCTCACCAAACGTAACTTAATATTTGAGATGTCTCGTTGTTTTGATCCATTGGAATTCATTACTCCCGTTACCATAAAGGGTAGGATTCTGATACAGGAGGCGTAGAGACTGAAAGCAAGGATGGGGCGAGAGTTTATTCATAGAAATATATGAGGCTTGGAATAACATTGTTGTGGAATTCAGTCAACTTCACCAGATTAAATTCCCAAGACAGGAAGGCCGAGAAGGCCTATTAATAAGTCAGAAGGAAGTCAGTCACCTCCATGTCCAGACCAGAAATTTTGAAGTCTAGAGCAGTCCCTCAACACGAGTTGACGGCACTTTATGTGGGTACTATACTGGGTGTCTATCGTCACAGAGCATTAAATCACTTTGAGGCAATTCTCTAGTAGTTGAGGAATGACAGAAGTTAGTTTACGTGAAGAATCGTGTGGCCGAGATTAGGGAAATGCAATGTCCCGGCCAAGGAAAACCCAGCTGACATGATGTCACGTGGGGTCCCATTCAATAAATTCTTGGGCAATACATTTAGAGGTCACCACTGACATGACCGCTGAAATCTGCCCGATAAAGGAATAACTATTAAGTTACTCAGGAGATTTGCAGCAAGGAGGTCGTGTCCCAGGTTATTGATTTTAGATCACGGATCGAACTTTGTTGCCGGCGCTGCTTACCTCGACAAGATATTCAAGAGATAAGATAAGATAAGATAAGATTTTCTTTGGATTTTTAACCCCGGAGGGTTAGCCACCCAGGATAACCCAAGAAAATCAGTGCGTCATCGAGGACTGTCTAACTTATTTCCACTGGGGTCCTTAATCTTGTCCCCCAGGATGCGACCCACACCAGTCGACTAATACCCAAGTATCTGTTTGCTGCTAGGTAAACAGGACTACAGGTATAAAGAAACGCGTCGAAATGTTTCCACCCGCCGGGAATCGAACCCGGGCCCTCCGTGTGTGAAGCGGGAGCTTTAACCACCAGGCCATCAAGCAGATATCAAGCAAATATTACAGCAACGATGCTGCTTGAAGAAGACTCTCCATCATAAACAGATAGATATAGAAGAATTCAGGACAGTGGTGACTGAGGTTAAAAACAGAATTAATAACAGAACTCTGACATAAGTCAGCGATTATCTAGTCATTCTATAAGTGTTGAATCCATCCCATTTGATAAGTATACATCGTCTCGAGCCAGTATCTCCTATGTGTGAAAGTGATGCATTAAAAGATCCAAGCTACCCTGAGCCCGACTAACTCAGACACAAGTTCAAACACCTTAACTCTGAAGAATTGAGACACTTATGCAACATATGGGAATCTTTATTGAAGAAACGTTTCGCCACACAATGGTTTCATCAGTCCAATAAAAGAAGAAATGGGTAAGGAGAGGATGAGTTTGAGGTAATCAGTCCCTCAACCTGGAATCGATGTGTTCAGTCCATCACTCTTGTAGGAAGTACAGCATAGGGCCAGAGAGGTGACTTATATACTGCAGTCAGATGAGTCGAAGCAGGAGACGGGATCACAGTGGGACCTACCACTAGTGTAAGTAGGTCGTCGTCCGAAGGTTGAACAAGCGTTGAAGTCTTTGTAATAAGATCCCATGATGTTGCGGTGTCTGACAGATGTGATGAATGGTTTTGAAAACCGACAAGTTGAAAAACTGAGACATTTATGCAATATACGGGAATCTTTATTGATCCCGCCTCCTCCTGCTTTGACTCATCTCACCGCAGTATATAAGCCACCTCTCTGGCCCTGTGCTGTACTTCCTACAAGAGTGATGGACTGAACACATCGATTCCAGGTTGAGGGACTGATTACCTCAATCTCCTCCTCTCCTTACCCATTTCTACTTTGTATTGGACTAATGAAGCCACTGTGTGGCGGAATGTTTCTTCAATCAAGATTCCCATATGTTGCATAAGTGTCTCAATTCTTCAAGTTGTCGGTTTTCAAAACCATTCATCACACCTTAACTCTATCATTGAACACTGGGAGAAGGTCTGGCAAAATAATAATAATAATAATAATAATAATAATAATAATAATAATAATGATAATAATAATAATAATAATAATAATAATAATAATAATAATAATAATAATAATAATGATAATAATAATAATATCTTTATTTCTACAAGTACATTTACAAGGTATACAGGCCTAGTTGGCATCTCTGCCACTATTACATAGAAAGCCGCTTGTTATGCAAAGTATTCCGGGAAAATTAGGTTAATTTTGTCCCAGGATGCGACCCACACAAGTCAACTAACACCCAGGTGCCCATTTTTACTGATGGGTGAACATGGACAACCAGTGTAAGGAAACACGCCCAATGTTTCCACCCCTGCCGGGAATCGAACCGGACCCTCAGCGTGTGAAGTGAGAGCTTTCACCACCAGGCCACTGGCCACCGTGGAAAGCTGCTACGACACAGTACTCACAGCGTTGTACACAAAGTGCTGCAGAGACAGTGCCGGCAGAGCACAGCTCGTGCACCACGCCCACGCCCACCCTGTACACGGCACACCGCAGAGTCACGCCCACGTCTCCGCCCATGGTAAGGTCGCCTTCCACATCGTCAGCACTGCCGCCCACACTCCCCACATGCTTCATCTCCCGCTGCTCGTCCTCCAACCTGCAGGGTGAGAGTGAGCTTAATGTAATCAAGATGAGTTGATGTGTTGCCCTGCCTTCAGGGCCAGCAAGGCTAGGTGGATGACTGGAGAGCAAACGTAGGACGGAGAAAATTAGAGAGAGAGAGAGAGAGAGAGAGAGAGAGAGAGAGAGAGAGAGAGAGAGAGAGAGAGGAGAGAGAGAGAGAGAGAGAGAGAGAGTGATTACCTTCATGGTAGATCTCTAAGTGTAGTTCTCAATGGAACGGAATCAGCAAGACATCCTATTGGGGCAAGTGTTCCACAAGGAAGCGTGCTGGGTCCATTGTTATGGAATGTCTACTTCAACGACCTTCTTCATCTCATCCCAGAATCACATGCATATGCAGACGACTGTACACTGACATTCACTTATTCAAGAGAAGAAATGCCAGCTGCTCTAAGCTACATCAATCACCAGCTGAGAGCTGTATCAGCTTGGGGAAATAGATGGCAAGTAACATTTGCACCTGAGAAAACGCAAATGATGATCGTCTCTAGGCACCATGATGGTAATGCTGGGGCAGTAGTAAGGATGAATGGGAGGGTGTTGGCACCTGGAGAAGAAGTTGATATCCTTGGGGTGAAATTTGACTCCAAACTAACCATGAAGAACCATGTTGTAAATCTTGCAAACAAGGCAGCCAGGAAGCTTACAGCACTTCGCCGTATCTCGCATCTGCTTGACAGTAGGGGTTGCAAGATTCTGTACGAGGCACAAGTACGCTCACACCTTGAGTATGCTCCACTTTCTTGGTCTGCCTGCCCCCCCCCCCCTCTCATCTGCGACTGCTTGACAGAGTAGAGAACAGAGCAAGACGTCCCATCTCTCGCCTGGACCAATCCTGGATAGATCTGTCATTTCAGCAGAGCCTTCAACATAGGAGGGATGTGGGTGGCCTTACTGTTATGTACAAGGCCAATATTGTCAAAATACCACACTTGGATCCACTTCGAGGACAGCATGAAACAAGCTTCTATGCCACAAGACGGGCAGAAAGCAGCAACTTCACTCTGGCTGTACCCTTCTCCAGAACATCACTCCATCTGAGATCATATACCCAGGATAACTCGAGTATGGAACACATTCGTACAGCATCATGATGTAACGAGATAAAGTCAGTTAATCAAATGAAAATGCTGGCCCACAGACGGCTCCAACTTCATCCTGTTCCCTACTTGTATGTCTCATAACAATAAAAATGCTTTCAAATGAGCTGATGTAGGTAACAGCTCTTAGCTTGCCAATAAAGTTAGGAATCCTTAACCTGTAAATAGCTTGTCAATAAAGCTAGGGAACCTTAACCTTGTCAAACCCTGTGTAAAAAAGAGAGAGCGTGAGAGACAGAGACAGAGAGACAGACAGACAGAGAGACAGAGAGACAGATAGACAGAGAGACAGACAGACAGAGAGACAGAGACAGACAGACAGACAGACAGACAGAGACAGAGAAATGAACATATCTACCACATATAAACAATACATTATGAGGCGAAGAGATTAAGAACAGTCGTATGATAACATAAAAGGCGCTGTAATGAAGAGTTAGTCACATCATAACCACATCAGAACAATGTTAGTGAAGAAATTAGTAATCATTACAACTGAACAAATAACTAATGAGTAACGACCCTCTGACCTGGATCACTTCAGCGTTTGTGTCTTCCATCACTGGGTCACCTGTTGCGTGTGTCATGTGTTGCGTGTGTCATGTGTTGTGTGTGTCGTGTGTTGCGTGTGTCGTGTGTTGCGTGTGTCGTGTATGTATGTATGTACGTATGTACTAGGTGCGCAAAGCACCAACCACACTCCTGTAGTCATCTTTGCCAGCTGTAAGTAGGTTGACCAGGAGGGTGGTTGCTGGAGGGTGGGTGCAGGAAGGTGGGTGCTGGAGGGTGGGTGCTGGTGGGTGGGTTCCGGAGGTTGGTACTAGGTGACAGTATGTACTAGGTGACAGTATGTACAAGGTGACACAGTTGCTCTGTCGCACGCCACCTACCACTTGGTTGCACTAAAAAATCACCTTTCATAACTTGCTGGATCAGGCTGACACCTCAGCTAAACTGACTAACAGGATAACACTTTACAATGTACGTACGTAGATCCATCCTCTTGGTGTACATAACTCTATAATGTACGTATGCAGATCCATGTCTCTTGATGTACGTAACTCTACATTGTATGTACACAGATCCACGCTTCTTTGTGTATATAACATGTTTATTCAAAATTCTGAATGTTTTCTTCCTGCGCCACTACTTGCTCTTGTGTCTGACTGGAAGCTTGGAGGGCTGGAAAAACTGCAGAACGAAGCAATGAGGATCATTTTAGGATGCCCTCGTACTGCCAAAATTTTAAATATGCAAAAAGAACTTGATATTCCAAGCATCAGAGATCGTGTTACTGAAAGAAATATCCTAATTGGGGTTAATATGCTCAGGCAAGCTCATTCAAACCCCTGCACAGAAGCCCTCCAAACTTTCCTCAGCACTGGTGAACACTCCTCCAGATGGGTCGAAAAAACTGGAACCGACCTCCGCATGAATCAGATACATGATCTATGTCAAGTAAGGCAACAGCGGCACTTCTCCGCTCCATGGAATATTACCCCATTCCAAACTACCATTCCTCCATTTCCCCCAAACTACTTCTTAAATCACAACCAAAACTTCGCCTTGAAGCCAAACATGAGGCCTTAAGCTGTATTGATAACTTAGTCACACAGCACACACTCTCGCAAATTATTTACGCTGATGGTTCTGTTCACCAATCCACTGGTGCAGCTGGTAGTGCTGCTGTTGTCGTACAGAGTGATGGCTCTCTTAAAGAAATTGGAGCACGCATCAATAATTGGGCCTCTAACCCTTCAGACAGAACTGTTTGCCATACTCCTTGCACTGAAATGCATCTATGTATCAAAGATTGACAGTTTAATAGTAACTGATTCTCTGTCATCCATAAATGCTCTCAACTCATTAAGCATAAATTGTGGCATGCTTGTGTCAGAAGCCAGACACAGGTATGGTAGGATTGTGGACAGTGGAGTCAGAGTGCACATGCTGTGGATTCCATCTCACATTGGTCTTCAGATGCATGATAGAACTGATAAATTGGCTAAGCTGTATGCTTTCAAAGAGGAGTAGATTACAATCTTGGCTTGTCAGGTAGTAGTTTGAGAACAATAATACGAAAAGAACTTCAACTGAATTTTATGGACTTAAGGCTCAGGGAGATTGACACCAGTGAGTCCATCTATCATCACTCTATCATGCAGGAGGAGCCACATGTCTATGGTGCATCCAACAAAATAAGCAGACTCTTGGATGTCACTACTGCCCGGCTCCGGCTGGGTTACAAGTATCTTTGGCAGGTTAAATCACCACCACCAGATGTAGACCAAACGAAATGTAAACTTTGCCAGATGGACTATTGTCACACCCTGCGTCATTATGTACTGGAGTGCGATAAAATTAATGAATTTAGAAACAACTCACTCAGAAATGTTCAAGAAATGGCAAAGTATTTTATCCACAGTGGTATATTGCAGACCATTCTGGAGAAATACCCTGACTTTGCTAGCTGTAAATAAAGCATTACATGTGTGCATGTGTGTGTGTGTGTGTGTGTGTGTGTGTGTGTGTGTGTGTGTGTGTGTGTGTGTTTGTGTTTGTTTGTGTGTGTGTGTGTGTGTGTGTGTGTGTGTGTGTGTGTGTGTGTGTGTGTGTGTGTGTGTGTGTGTGTGTGCATTCACCTAGTTGAGATTGCAGGGGTCGAGTCCAAGCTCCTGTGTGTTTACCTGGAGTTTACCTGGAGAGAGTTCCGGGGGTCAACGCCCCCGCGGCCCGGTCTGTGACCAGGCCTCCTGGTGGATCAGAGCCTGATCAACCGGGCTGTTGCTGCTGGCTGCACGCAAACCAACGTACGAGCCACAGCCCGGCTGATCAGGAACTGACTTTAGGTGCTTGTCCAGTGCTTGTGTGTGTGTGTGTGTGTGTGTGTGTGTGTTTGTGTGTGTGTTTGTGTGTGTGTTTGTGTGTGCGTGTTAGTTACCATTTTGTCCTAGGCACATGTCGATTAGACACTAGGCCTGTTGTATTTGCGAGTGTGTGTGTGTGTGTGTGTGTGTGTGTGTGTGTGTGTGTATGTGTATGAGTGTGTGTGTGTGTATGAGTGGGTGTGTGTGTGTACTCACCTATTTGTACTCACCTATTTGTGGTTGCAGGGGTCGAGTCTTAGCTCCTGGCCCCGCCTCTTCACCAGTTGCTCTTCACCGGTATGAGTGTGTGTGCGTGTGTGTGTATGAGTTTGTGTATGTGTGTGTGTGTGTGTGTGTTTATGTGTGTGTGTGTGTGAATTTGTATGTGTGTGTGTGTGTGTGTGTGTGTGTGTGTGTGTGTGTGACTCAACAATCAATATTTGCACCAATAACTCATTACAGTTGTGACCGGGTGTGGAAGTGTGAATTGCTCATTACACTATAATTTGTTCATGATTGTAGCCATGTATAAACGTAAGTAACCATTCTTACAGTATTCATTACCTTTGTAACTTGTGAGCTCATTACCTTGTACCTAGTTCAGCCATCAAAATTTTGGGGCCCAGTCCCTGGATCCATTACGTACCTCTGTAATCTGTAAATACCTTTGTAACTTGTCATGATTGTGACTAGACCTACCCGGAGTTCATTACCTTTGTAATTTGTGAGTTCATTACCTTTGTAAATTGTGAATTCATTACCTCTGTAACTTGCTCAGCTATCAAAACTTTGGAGTCCAGTCCCTGGACCAATTATGTACCTCTTTAATCTTTTGACTACCGCCCACAGGATGGGTATGGGGTGCATAATAAACATATTAAACTAACTATGGGAATTAAAAGATTAAAACATAAAGAATTATTTGAAGTGTAAACTGATTCAGTAAAATAAAACTTCAACTTGAAACTCTGAGACAAGAGGTGTAACGCAAAGTTTTAAAAACTGAT